GGATTGCAGAAATCGAAAGAGCATGTCCAACTTAGTAAATCTGCATCAAAATCCCAAAATCGTGATTTTGCACATTCGTCATCCGTTTTCTGAGACGACGTTATGCCGAGCACACATTTAGTACATTCAAGGCTTTTCTTCGCGAAAATCGAATGAAAATGCTGCCAGAAAACTTCAAAATGCATCTTGTGGTTTAATGTTACTACAACTATACAGATTAAAGCTTTATGGGTTAGAAACTAGAAAGGATAAAATAGTCAAAGATTCTAAGTACAAATGTTCTAGTTCATAGTTTTTCTCTTTTTACATGTAATATAAACATTTTTAAAATAAATGTATTTTTTGATTGTTATTCGTATTTTCTGCCTTTTTTTAGTGCCTTATTTTGCTTTTTTTTGCAATACCTAGTGCCTTTTCCTGCCTTTTTCGCTATTTTGTTTTGCCTTTTTTTGCCTTTTTTGCAACACCTAGTGCCTTTTCCTGCCTTTTTCGCTATTTTATTTTGCCTTTTCCAGCCTATTTCGTTATTTTATTTTGCCTTTTTTTATAGGTTTTTAGGTCCTAAAAATCCGTTCCCTGCTAATGACACGCAATATTTATTTACTCTCTATTGTGCTCATTTCACACGTTGACTAATAACACTCAATAGAGATTTACTCCCTTTTTGTGCTCATTTCATACGTTGACACACTGCACATGTACATATGTGTATACATATCTACATCTATTGTTTATGCTACCGTTAAATCGGGTGATTTTACTGCACAGGCCCAATCGTTATTTTATGATGTACACACATGCGTAAATATTTATGTATAATGATTGCAATAAGTTGAAAACTAGTTTTAAGCAGAAGCAATAATAATGACGAAATATTAATTCCATCTGCGATCTTGAAGCTTAAGGGCATAGGCGCTAATAAACTGGCTTATTTTGTACTAGCTTTCGATCATTTCGTTGTCTTTTTATTGTAATGCCACTGGTCGGTAAAAAGGCTTGCCGTCTACGAAACCATTTGGTGGCCCCGACGTGATTTTGGAATCACAGATTTTGCGTATTAACAAACAAAGTATTGCCCCATGGCGCCGTCCAAAAGAGCAGAAGTCGAATCCAGGAAAAATAAGCACGATTCTCTCATACAGCAGATAACAACGATTAATAACGCCCTTAACATTGAAGCACTCCAGGAGCTCGACGAAGCAGCAGTTGAAGTCCGAATAGAGCAAGTGGATCGACTGGAAAAAAGATTTGATGGTATTCAAGCGCATTTGGAGGATGAGGACGAACTTGAAGACGTAGTGACGATGTTTTCTAGCCATTACATCGAAGCGAAGACGAAGTTGACGCGCCAGCTGTATATTTGCCGTGGCGCAGAATCTCATCGCTCGATCATGCGGTCAACTTCGGACGAATGGCCATCGATTATCGTCGCACCGCCAAAACAAAGGGTACCAGTTCTACATATTCCAAAATTCAGCGGTAATTATACCGAATGTCCTGACTTTTTTTCAATATTCAGTACTGTGGTGAAGCAAGATGTGGATTTGACGATTGAAAAATTTCAGCATCTTCGCTCCAGCCTGTGTGACGCTGCGTTGGATACAATACGTTCTTTCGAAATTTCAGAACAAAACTACGATGAAGCTATTGACTTATTGAAATCTCGGTTTGATAACACACGCTTAAATTTTCAGGCACATATAAGAGACATCGTACAACTTAAAAGAGTAGAAGGTGATTCCGTGGCGAAGTTTAGCGAACTAAGCGACAACGTAAACGCCCATTTGCGCGCGCTACAAACTATGGGTACGAAAGAGCAGATTGCTGATTGTATGTTAATTCAGCTAGTATCGCAAAAATTGGACGTTGCATCTCGCACGAAATGGGAGGAAGAATCGACTGTGAATGAAATATCAACTTGGAATTTGATTCCGAAATTTTTAGAAAATCGTTGCCAACGTCTGGAAAATATCGAAAACGCGTTTAAACTAAGGTTATTAGTCAAGCAGGTAGGAAATAAGTCATACTTAAATAACAACTGCAAAGTTTCGCTAGCCACGTCGCAAACGGTTGCGTATTGTGGAACTCCAGTCAGCATGCAATCGCTCAATTCAAAACCTTTACTAGCCTTTCGCCTTCTATGCGATATACAGAGGCGAAGAGACAACAACTTTGTCTGAATTGCCTAAGAGGAGGTCATTCTCTANTAACAACTGCAAAGTTTCGCTAGCCACGTCGCAAACGGTTGCGTATTGTGGAACTCCAGTCAGCATGCAATCGCTCAATTCAAAACCTTTACTAGCCTTT